GTCAAAAAATATTTTTTAAGTATGAAACAACGCCTAAATTACCTTAATATTAAATGTGAATGTATGATCATAATTTTATTCATAATTATATAATGTATCATAATTTCATTCGTATTCATTAAATTTCCAACGCAAATTTAAAATACACATTTGTTCATCTACCGTAGAATCGTCCATTTTCAAAGTTCAATTGCAGTTGATATACAGTGGCGTGCAAAAGTCTCACTTCTCAATCACATCAGTCATGATTCATGAGTAATTTTTCAGTTTTATAAGCATCTTTAAAAGATTTATTTATCTTATTAAAACTATATGTACACGGAGAAAAGAGCTCTGCTTAAATTACCGTACTGCATGCTAATGACATTTCTAAAAAAAAAAAAGCGTAATTCTGGTAATAGAACAAATATATACGCTAGTTAAACCCTTCGTTTGGTAATTTTACAGTTAATATTGTAACGGTTTTCCGAAAATTCAGGAAATTATAGTTCCTATTACCGTACATTTAGTAAGAAATTCAAAACTGAACTGTAAATTTTACAGAATAAATGGTTCTATTGCCATGCTTTAAGGTATCACGTTAAAATGTCCAAATTTTTCCTCATTTACCTAATTTTATCACATATTATAAAGTTATATTCTACTCTTAATTTTAGAGAAATCATTACGAATAAGCCTAGTTAAAAAGTACCGGGCTTTTTGATGCTTCCAGAGAGAAAGAAACACGGTAAATTTTACCATATTCTGGTAGTTTTGACCAAACTTTTTTTCCCAGTTTGTAATTCATAATTAAAGATATTCAAATCTTCGACTCCCTTATATATAGAAAACAATATATAGAAAACAATTATATGGAAAACAATATAGAAAACAATTAGTTATATATCACTCACAAATGTTAATAACAGTCCTTCTATAATCGCTTCGTTATAAATATGTTTGACATTTATAAGACTAAACACTATTATATAAGACATTAATTGTCTTTAGTAGAGAGAAAAATCAATTATTAATTGTTTTATAATTAAGCTCATTTTTAATTCCAGTTGCATAAACAAGAATGACAATACAACTTTTGTTTACAAATTTAAATTAAGGAATGTTTAATTAAACTGAAGCAGGTTTCAGAAATTATTCAACCATTTAATATTCTAGACAATCGATTTAACTCTTCTTAACTTTGTTCCTTTTGTCTACTTAATTTTTACTTCTTTGACGGAAAATTAATTTGCTTTTACCAAACAACATTTGAACCTTGATAATTTTTAACTACTCTGCCTTCTCTTACCTTATCAAACTCAACAAAATTAATTCGATTCTCTGAAGACCTATAATGTAAGGTTATTAAGGCGCTCAAAATGAATTTATTTTTAATGCTTGAACCATCTTCTTTAGGAAACATTCTATTTCATTTGTTTTACCTGCACAAACATTTAGCAACTGTTTTTTCACATATAATTATTATTAACTTTATTCAAACCGAGCATCATTTTGATTAATGTAAATATGACGTGAATTGAGCTATTTACATTTAAACTACGTGTATTATAAAATTGCGTATTTTCAAGTTTTAAAAACACAGTTTTACAAACTTTTTGAAAATATATAAAAATGGATGAAATCATTTAAAATATTTTATTCGGTTAATAATGTAACATGCAACATTTTTCAGTTTCATAATGTTTTTATTATATTTCGTATGTTTTTGCACTTATCTTTGAACGCATCATTCCAAAACATAAATTTCATAATTTCTCCTTATAAAATATATTTAATATTATAAGAAAACGTAAATTTTTCCCTATCTCTTAATGGAAATTACGAGACTTTAAATCAAAGATGCAAGGAATATGTGATATTTAATGCTTATTTCTGAGTTATAATTTTAAGGCAGGAGCCAACATATTTAAAAAATTACGAAAAAAAAATTGTCTATACATTGACACTTTTTCTATTAATTCTTCTTTAGTACAATTGTTAAAATTATGCGAAAAAGCTGATTAAATAATTATAATTAAAGCAGTAAAATATCGAAATCCCGAAATTTGATTGATAAAAATAAATAAATTAAACCAAAAACATGTTTAAATTAGATTTGATTTTTTAAATATTATCAAGCATTAATTTGTATTTCCTTTGGATTAATTCTTTGACTTTTAAACATTATGTATTGATTAATTATATTTTATTACGTGTTTCTATATAAAAAGACTCTTAATTATTCGGGAAAATTTAAATAAAAAATATGTTGTGCATTTTTGAAAGTATAAACGTATTTCTATAAAATGCTCTGGAAATTTTATACAAATAGTAGTTTTTGGGAGTTTTTTTTAACAGTAGTTTTACTTTAATAGAAGTTCTAACAATGTTCTCGAACAGATCAAAAATTTTGTCATATATTCTGAAACATGTGGATTATATTTGTTAATATAGCTTCTTATATTTCATAACTGTTGTTAAAATTACATAAAATAATTATTAATCATAATATAAGTTCCAAACTTCACCCAAAAAGTGATTGATAAAAATATTAAATGAAATAACAAATTTAATTAAGAACTTTTTTTGAAATATTATCAAACATTAATTTATTTTTCTTTATTTGATATATATACGTTATATATTGGCCATATTTGATCACGAAATTATATTTTATCAAATATATCTAAATAAAATAACATTTGATTGATCGAAAAATTTTAAGAAAGTTGACGTTACGATTAACTTCGTAATATTTTCTAAGAGAATAAACACATTTCTAAAAGTAGTTCTGGAAGTTTTAAATAGTAGTTTTAGGACCTAAACTTCTCCGAATTTATATTTCTTTGAGTTAATTATTTGACACAAATACGTAACATATTGTTCATAGTTAATTACCTATAATTACATTGTTTTAAATATCCTTTTACAAATTTGTTCTTAATATTAAGGAAAACTTCTATTTATGCAAAAAAAACTAAAATTAAGAATATAGTAGATGGTATTTAAATTAAATAATATAAAATAATGAATATAGCATGATATTTTAAAATGTTTCATTAAAATTAAAGAAATAATGCAATTGTTTTAACATAAACATACATTTTAAAGTAGTTAGGTAAACTAGTTGTTTTATTATTTTTTTAAAAAAAAAATTTCTGAACATACATCATCCCCGTCGTTTAACCATGGTGCAGATTTCATCAATAAAAGCGTTCGTTAATTTTTATTCTTCAAAGCTCTTTCTCGTTAATTCCACTTTAAAGAAGAATGAAAGGCTATTCTGTACATCATTAGTGTTCTATTTACATTCAATAAATTCAACTATGTGTTTGTCATATGAGAACATTTTAAAAGAGCTAAGTAAACTTTTTTGTTCATTATTTCTTAATATGCATTACATTGAACTAAGATACACTGATGTATTAAACTACATTTGCATGTATTGTGATACATTGAATTGCGTGTGTAATGTATCAGAACACTTCAATTTGAGTGAAAACTGTAGAATTTTTCGGTAGATAAATTTCTTTAAGAATATTGTTTCAAGATTATAGTAACTTGATCCATTTCTGCTATTAATTTTAGCTTTCCTTTAAATGACATTGTCTTACGGCTCACCTCTACACCTATAAAGCTTTAACGCATAAGAAATGAACATTTTGAAACATGTTGTTAAACTACTGTAATTGGTATACAAATAGGCAAATATTAATAAGCGAGTGTAGTTAAAGTTCGGATAAATGCAGAAGGAGTTAAGTTGTAATAAACACTTGTGCCATAGCACTATTTAAACGAAGATTTGAACAGTGCTAAAATTATTGTTAATAATGGAAAGTTTATTTAAAAAAGCAGTTCTGAATTCGAAAAAAAGGTTAAAAAGTTGCATAAAAGCAGAAATCTAACACAGGAAAATAGACTTTATTCAGTCATCTTTTATCACTGTTATCTCTTTAAAAACCATGACAAGTCTCAATAACAAGTTTGCAGATTTACAAGCTTCAAACAGTTGGCCTCTCCTTCAGAGGCGCCATATTAGGTGGGCCAACGTCGCTCCCGCAGTGAGGACAGATAGAACAGAGAAGGAAAGAACATCCATGCTTTTGCCCGGGATTCGAACCCAGAACCTTTCTGATGCAAGGACAGTTCCCTGCCCCCTACACAGGCTGGTCTACTTGTCATAACTTATCAATGTTTTATTCGTAACTCTTTCTAAACCATGGGATCTCTTTCTTGACAAGTTTATCGCCCCCCCCCGTATTTAATTTTGAAATCTCCAAGCTTTAAACAATGTTAAAAATACTCTAATTGAAGGTTCATCTAAGCAAGCAGATATTGATAAAAACAAGCTAAAAATCTGCAAAAAAAGATCGGAATTCGATCAGAAAAACTAGCCATATGTCCTTTCTTATCTATCATTATATCCCTTATAAACAATGAAGCATCATTTTCCAATACTATATTTGCTTCTCCAATATTATATTCGTAGTTTTTCATACTTTTAGAAGTATTAAAATCATTCCTATATTCAAGTGTATCTAAAAATTAGTTATTGATGAAAAATAAACAAGTTAAATTACTCATTTTTACTCTTATACTACTAATTTAGACTCTTTTACTCTCATTTCCATATTAGGTCTAATTTGCATGTACGACTTTTAAAATAAGTTTGAATTTTTGTGAGAGTTTAACTAAAAAGGGGTTTGATTAATTAGACTAAATCATAAAACATGATTCAATATAATAAAATGTTATTATATAATAAAATGTTATTATATAATATAATTTAAAACAATTCATAACGTATCATTAAAACAAAATAAATTTAAATTCAGCATATATTTTCGTAATTTGATCGTTTCCGATTGTATAATTGTGAACCATCTATCTGATTAATCATAGTTTTTAAGCAGTACGTGCCAAAAGAGATATTTTGTAAGGAACAAAAGGAATTTCATACAGACATTCCTTTCAATAACTTAGAGAATATTAGTGAGAAAATAAATTGTACCACGTCAGACCTTCTTGAAAATCCTAGAGATTCTTTCTCCATGCTCCCACGGAAGAACAGGAGCTCTTCTACAGTCAATACCCTTAGTACCGTTATTATAAACTTCTCCACGTCGAAAATTGTTTCGAAAAATATCAGGATTCCGTTTGAGCAAACGGCTGTAAGCATCTAGGATTACTTTGGCAACATCATACATAAGAGCTGCTTCTGCCTGAAAAAAGAAAGAAAGTTATTTTGCTTTAATATATTTAGCAAAGCGAAATTGCATTTTTTATTTTTATAGTGTTATATAGTACACTGAATAAAGGGTCAAAACTACTAGTCTAGAGTAAATATTACCGTATCCCTGTTTTTATGACAACACCAAAAAAGAATGATAAATTTTACCGAAGTACCATGGTAAAATTAAAAATAATAATTTTTGAATGCCGTTAAATTTTTGCAATTTTATCACGGAATCTTAGATCATGGCATTAAAATCTTTTATACGGTTAAATTTATTTTTCAGTTTTATATTATGTTCTTAAATACGTGGTAACAAGAACTATTATTTTAAAACCTAGAATTTATGGTAAACCATTACCATGTCAACGAAACAAGTTTAAATACCTTACATTTTGGTTTTATTAAATAAAACTACGTTTTTTTACAAGAATGTCATTACCATATAGCACGGTAATTTCATCAATTCTATTTTTCCTTGTGTAAAGCATAAATAATATTGCATTATCATTTATACCTTCAAATAATTTTAGCTTAAATAAACTTTTTTGGCCGAATTGAATTATGGGCTCTCTTACAATTAGAAGAAACTTATAAATTTCAGAAGAAATTTGAGATATTTTGGAGTTTTTTGGTATTTCAAATAAGAATTATCCTTAAGTGTATTTATAATGTTTTTATTAACTTTGTAGAGTCTCGGATTTTTTTGCTGTTGTCTTGCATGTGACGAATCAAATTAATGAATATAATTAACAAAAGAAAAAAACTTCGTATGTATATATTATTGCTTGAAATGTCTTAAAAGCAAATGTAAATAAAAAATAATAATTCTCTTCATATTTGTAAAAAAGAGGAAAAAAATCAGAAAAAAATTCAAGTCAAAAAGACAAAAAAGTCTAACGTCAAAATTAAAAAGGAAGCAGAAATTTACTAAAATAGATACTTCTGCAATAACAGTAGAAAATTTAGATCTTGATTGCTATATTATTGGCATTCAAAAGATAGAATTAAAAGACAGAATAATTAATGAAACATCATTTGTTTTAAGACGGTAGAAAACTATCAAAATTATGTTTATTCGTCTAATGAAATACGGGTAAAATGTTGGTATATATGTTATAATTAAAAGTATTTCACCAATTAAATATGACAACTTAAGCATAACTTAAAGTTGTTTGACAATTCGAACGTAAATTTATTTTGATATATGTACCAAGGCTGGTTTCTGAAAAACATATTGTGTTTTATTTACTCTAGCTAAGATACTTCAAGTATTATACTACCATCATTATAATATTATACTACCATCATATATCATATATATGGCCAAATTATTAGCCGCATTCCAAGATTCTATATAAAATCTTAATTATCACTATACAGCTTTATTGTTTTTGCGTGGATTCACTTGTTTTCGATCGTATATCAATTGGTTAACACTGCAATACAATACATTAAAGAATAAATATATAAAAAATCTCCTGAATAGAAACCCATTACATGTACGTTTAAATATAAAAGTATTGCGAATAAGCTCGAGGAATTATCCAAAAAACTAATAATTTCCTTCATTTATTATAATATAATACCTGATATAACAAATAGTCTATAATTATATATCGTCCAATTTATCCAATCGTCGAATTCATGTTATAAGTCGTCTAATTTAACCAATTGATGCACGAACGTAAACAAATGCAAACCGGTTTCACCCGCTTAAAAACAATAAAACTGTTTTGTATCACCTGATGATTAAGATTTTACATAGAATCATGTAGTGCCTCTAATAGTTTGGTCAAGAACTGTATATATGTAGCATACTGCAATAATAAATCTATGAATGCAATTAATGAAGAAGTCTTTTCAACGCAAAATTTAAAAATTTTAATTTCTTTTTTTTTAATTGTATAGCCAACAACAACTTTTTGAGTTGTTTTATTTTTTTTCTGAGCTGATATAATGTATTCGATCTATTAACTTAGAAGTGCTATTTACTGAATCAGGAAATACATAATTCATACCAAACAAATACACAAATATCCAAAAGAATTTATTCATAAGATACTCCGAAGATTTTTTTTTATCTCTTACCGAAATATATTGTGTGCCAGCTCCAGGCCATCTATTTGAATCTAATGCTTGCCAAGCAGGCACAAAATGACGAAAATCAGGACTTCTAGGCTGTAAAATTCGAAAACCAGTTACGTTAATTGCTCCAAATTCTAAGACTTGACTATTTAAATATTCATCCATGACCTATAAATTAGAATATATAAGTTAACTTAATTACTTTATTAGTAAAACATTATGAAATATATTCAAAGAAGAATCTGAAAGCATAAGCAACTATCAATAAGAAAATCCAGAAAACAAAAGAAACAAAAATGGTTTTATCTGAAAACAATTAAAAATAAATATGCTAAAAAGAAGTTAATGAAGTTTTCTGTTTGAATTAAATATTTGTTTTTGAAATATGGCAACATGAATGGGGTTGATAAATTTCTCTTTGATTCTAATGTTTTTCTTTCTACTAATTTAATGCAGCGTTAGTTATTGAAAACATTTTGTGATAAAAAAGAATTGTGTAAAAGAAATTTCTGCTCTGTTTGTTGTAAGACGCATAACATATAAATTGTTTTATTGTTGTGGATATTTTTGAATAGTCAGTATAACTTAAGACGCCCTGTATATATGAATACTGTTTCCAATCAGAGTTTCTCATAGCTGCTACATACTTAATAAATGGTCCATGTTAGAACACCATGTTTTTTCTGATTTTCTATACTTAAAGAAATTTCTTTTTTCAAAGTTATTTATTTTTTGCTATTTGTTTTTGAGTGCTCTGACTATTAAACTAATTTTTAAAGCGACTAAACTAAACAAAAAAATAAAACCCAATTGTTATTTCAGTTATCATAGTATTGAAAGGAATTTTTTTCTAAATGTTTAAGTCATGCAACTACATAAAATCCAAATTTTAATATTGGATTACTTTATAAACAAATTGTCTTAAAAAATAAGAAGAAAACATAAATTTTTAATACAATAAAATGGGTAGATATTTTAAAGAATATGTAATGCTAATAATTTAAGATACTTATTACCTAGTCATTTTTATGAGGGAATAAGATTTTTTCTTTTTTTTTTCCAATGCCCACCTGGGGAGCGACTTACGCCTGAAGGGCATATTTGTTGGCCACTCTTTCAGGGGCACCATATTAGTTGGGACCAACGTTGCTCCCACAGCAAGGACAGATAGCACAGAGAAGAATAGTTCGAACCCAGAACCTTTCTGATGCAAGGGCAGTTCCCCAACCCCTACACACCGCTGTCGGCTATAAGGGAAAAAGTGTATAGAAAATTATTAAAATTATTGTATCTATATATTTTTAGACATTGCTTATGTTCCTGTTTTATTACCATTGTTTTTTTCATTATTAGAATGTTTTCAAAGAATTTTAACTAGCATAGAGCTTTCAGCAAAAAAAAATATTTGGCATAAAACAGGCCATATTTCAACTCTATTTATATAATAGAAGGGTTTTTCCCCAAAATTTTTCTTTTAATTACATTGGGTGGTAGACATGAAAAAAAAGGAAAAAGTATATTTCAACAATGCAAAGTGCTATTTGAAATATAATAAAGATATTTTTAACAACAGTGTAAGAATGCAGTTTTAATAATTGTTTAAAGCATTAAAAAATGTGTATCAAAAATGTGGCAAAAAGAATCTTACCAAGCTCGTGAGAAGAAAATGATAGTTTCTTCTTCCCATATAAATGTCACGAACATGATTCACTATTATCTTTCTGGCAGTATCAGCATTACAATCCAAGACAACATATTTTAAACTCTCACGTTCTCTAGTTTCTAATGAATGTAGAAAAGCATTAGCATCTGATGCATTTGATATGCGCTTCACAACTTTCACTTCTAATTTGTAATTATCTGTTGTCAGTCGGAAGATGTGCTGTAGTTTAAGTAATCCTGTCAAAAAAAGAAAGATACTTAAAGTTAATTTTAAAAAAACATCCAATTATTTCTTATTATAGCATTTGTAACGTCTAATACTTATATCAGGATTTACGAAAAAGTATTCTTGTTTAATAAGAAACGAAGTAATTTTATAAAATAAAGAACAATCACGGAATAAAATTTAGGATGAATGAATTCAACTAGTCGAAAATAAAGTATCTCACATAAAGAGCAAGATTTTTCAATCATTCAAAAAAAAAAATTTTTTTTTTTTTCAGTTGTATAAATTTAAACAGGTTGTTCCATGTTTACTGGACTCATTACAAGTGTGGGTTACCTTTTTGCTTTTTTTATCTATATAAGTAATTTTTTTCTGATCCGATATTTTTAAAGTGCTCGAGACTTTGTTAAAGTGACAAAAAATGTGTTACACTAGTTTTAATAGCAGTCAAGTCATCTACATTAAAAACCTAACATCGCACTGTTAAAAATTTCTCTGATAAAAGGTTAAATGACAATTTATTCTATTGTTATTTTACCATATTCAAACAAAAGAACCAAGTAACAATAAATAATATGGTATTCAAACTCTTAACTGCTTCATGCCGAATCTTCATTAACAGCTTCACCGAAACGGGCTGAACAGCCAAAATTTTATAGAACCAAATAGGCCTTCCGAATGAAGTCACTTAGTTTCTTGCACGTAGGTACATATTTTATAGCCCAGATGTCTTATCTGTTAAACTCATGACCGACAGAACGGGAGTTATCGTTGAAATCACAATATTTCCACCATTTCATTCAACACATGAAGAATTTCCAGTATCCTGCACTCCCAAATTTGTCACCCTGAACTGTTAGAAAACGATACGCACATTCACGCTTACAATAAAACTGCTGAACTATCTCCCATTACCAGTAAAATTTCCTTTTTATAGTTTTGAAACCATACTTGTTGTAAGTGATTAAAAATATCATACAGTTTTTAGTCATAGTTTTTTTTTCACATACCAGTTGTAAACGGTTTCAAAACAGTAAAGGTAAAACATGTTCTTTACCATAAACTTTACAGTCACTTGGATGAACAGATTGTTGTTGGTAATTTAAGAATGAAAAGTCTAACAGTACATGCCAATATTCCTTTGGGGCATTATCTTCAGAAGCAAATAATTCCATTTTTGTGTTCGAAATCGCTGTGGACAAAAATTGGATTAAAAAAATTAAGATATACAACGAAGAACTCCCTGAAAATTTAAACGGAAATAATTATAACCAAATTATTTTAAAGAAGTTATATTTTTTAGAGTTATTTTTCCAGTTTTATTTTGACGGATACAAACAATATCATAGTTGTCTACTTTATCCTACTCTAAACTTTAAAGCAACGGTGTTATTGCATTTTCTATTATTATTTATTTTAATCTCTTGTAGTTGTTTCTTTATTATAACTTCCTATCGAGAAGTGCTTTAAAAATATAAGAATTTCTTAACTTTCATTACTGTCATTGTTAAGGTAAAATTGATAATAATTATTCAAATCTGATATCATGAATTGTTTTAAAGAAGAATCTATAGGGTTTACCTCAATGCACTAATTTGTTTTTGTTATTTGTTGTCATTAAGAATTAAAACAAAAATTTATAATCAAATTGTTTATTTTATTTTATTGCATTTTTATTCTTACATAAAGCATAAAAATGCAATACAAAAAAGAAGTGCATTGGTCCTTTATATTTTAAACTAAATTGAAATGTTTTTTTAATACTGTAGGATTCCAAATTTGTACTACAAAAGAACTAAAATACTTATGAACTTATTTAATTTTTATTTCCTTTTATATCATTATCTATTATAATGCATTTCAATTATTGATTAAACTAACTATATGTAATAAATATAAATAAATCACTTTCGTTTCGATATTTACACTGATTCCCTTAAAAAATTGTTAGAAACATACACACAAGAAATATTCAATTATAATAAATTATCTTAGCATATCGAAACATTTTTAACTACTTCTTTCCATTCAGACGAAACATTCCTGTCTAGACGCGTCATTTACAATATATTTTTTTTAAAGAAAAATATCCTATGATGTCTTTTGTTAAAATAATTTAAGAAGGTATAGCAATTTAAGCTTTAAAATAATATAGATATTTACAAACTTGACTTAGTTGAAAAAAAGTTCGCGATTGAGATATTTACTATGAGATAAAAATCGTTAAAATAACTAATCCCAAAAAGGAATAAAAGATAAACAAAAATATTTTAAAGATAAATGGAGGAGGGAATTGTAAAAGCGTGTGTTGTACATTACACCAATGTAAATATGTAGTCTCCCCTATCCCCCCCCCAATGGAAAAAGGCTCCATTCACTGTAAGTAGTTGACGCCTGTAACAAAACTCTCTCTGTTATGTTGGTGGTCATTACAAGTTTTCTAGTCTGATTCAGGTTTTTTTAGTTGCTGCTTAATTTGTCCAACAATTTGATTGGAAAATAAAATCGTGTATTTTTAGATTAAGGAAAGAAAGTGTGAATGTGATATTTTAAGATAAAAGTTTCTAAGGAAATTAATTTATTTTAGTTAGGTCTAACAACAGGTCTAGTTAACACAAATAGATTTCCATGCAGACTGGGACCCTTAAAGGTGTAATTTTTTAAAGTTTTTAGTATTATGTGCTTTTTTAATAATCCACTGAAATATTTTTTTGTTTAACGTTTATGATTTATTTTCGGTCATCCAGGAATACTAAAAAAATTAGTTTTAAAAATTACTAAAAAAATTAGTTTTATCCAAGAAGTAACTAACATCCAATGGTCAAGGCACATCATTATGTGCATCGGATAACAAAAAAAGTCAATCAAGTCTCTTTCTAAGCCGTTTCGGCTTGATTTATGCCCAAAGAATTCCAGTAGATGGGAGTACGTAGTTGGATGCCAGTGAGGATGTCTCTCATTTCTGCACGAAAGGCCAAAATTCGTTTACAGTGGTGTGGGAAAAGACAACACTGGTTATCGGAGACCTGTGAACAAATGGAACACACTATACCTTGTTTTGCACTCACAGAAGGCATTGAATGCGGATATAAAAGCCATGAACCTTGTTCGAACAGTGTAAGGATCTGCTGCGGATATCATGATATGGGGCATATTCTACTAGTATAGAAATAATTCCTTAGTTTTCCAAAGGAAGCAATGTAATACCTAGTCATATTGACTATTCAAACGCGCAGACAGAAATGTTATATTTTTACTCAGAGGGTGATGCATGCATCATAGCCGAGAATACAACTCACCGTTCGAAATTGGTCCAGTTAGCAACAAATTGACTTCCTGTGTCTTTAAATCTGACTTCCAGCGCAAAGTCCGAATTTTAACAAAATAGTAAATGTATGGGACACCAAGCAATGAAATTTCCAATCTCTTCTTTCACCTTTGTTATAGGATCTTTAACACTGTGTCATCCATATATGGTATTCTCTGGAAACAAAGGCAGAAACATATAGAATCGATGCCCTCACGAACACGGCCTTCTATCTTACCAAAAGGAGATACAATTTAATATCACTTTAAAGTTTCAAATTCATTAAGCGGAAAGCGAGTGGTTAATGTGGTTGTTGAGAATATATTCTTTGGTTTCTCTATCAGGACGTAGCAAACTGTAATTTTTTTTATCTCCTTTTGTTTCTTTATAATGAGTTTTTGAACTGTCAAACATATGCGGGACACCCGGTACGCTCATTTTCCTCTTATTTACTCAACTTTTCCACTAAGATGACAAATTAGAAGATGGAAACATTTGTTTATTTATTGATAAAGTATGTAGTACGAGATACATGAATTCATCTATTTGCAGAGGTGAAAGTTATTCTTATTATAATATCTACTGACGAAATTAATATTAATTAATATAACTCATATATTCAAATTTATGTAACCTAACTTTTACAAAGCTACAAAAAATTTTGTTTTATTATCACAATATCAATCTATATTATTTAATTTTATGGTTCTTACTAAGAAACTAAACAGCAAATTCAGAAAGATTTCATAGAAATTATTTATATCTAAAAATTGTTTTTGGGTGGCTCCATACTTAAATCATATTACAAAAGCACTTTCCGCATCGTAAAAATTACAACTGCAATTTTCCATCAATAAATGGTAAATTTAAGGAAATTTTTTGGCGGCATCCAGTAAAACGGAATAAATGTAGTCAGAAACAGTGATTCATATTTATTTGACTATTACTTAGTAAAAGAGGAAATATGCTGAGGATGATGATCTCTCTCTTCTGAATCAAATCAGATACAATCTTCTGAATTTGGAATCAAATCAAAGAAGATGAGTTCGTTCACCTTAATGCTTCCAAAACATGCATAGATCTATCTGTTCAGAAGGTCCTCACGTACCAAGTTAACAGATTTAATGAGATGTCGCGAAGTGGCTTCTGCTTCCCTACGCTTTCTGAAAACTGGAAATGTCTTAGCATTATAGGAAAATCTGAGGGATTTTAAATGTTCAGCAGACAGTTCTGTTAAAGTGGTTTGATCTCTCATGTCACGTTTAAAACTAATTGATGCTCCAGGACTTCCACTTAGATGCCACGAATGTGATGATGCTTGTTTTCAAGAGATGTTTATAGCAGTCTTATTTTTTGAGAACAGCTAAAGGTATGTCATAGGTTCCACATTAACCCGAATTTTGGAAGTATCGTCTTTTTCTAGATCATCATCAACATAGTCATATTTTAAATTTGCATGGGATGGAATGCATTGTAAATGGAGCACCAGTTAGGGAAAGAACCAGACCTGGTTCTGAGTTCTCTTGGTTCTGAGTTCTTCTTGGTTCTCTGGAATTCTTATTCCCTTCTGGTCCCTGATAAGTCTCTGATTTTGCTTATAATGAATTGTTCTGCGGCTATGAGAAAAAATTAAGACATCTTCAAGTCGCTCAAAAAGATAATCTAGTGCCATGTCAATGACGATCAATTCAGGGCAAAAAACGGAAAAGTGATCAGTATGTCTGCGTTTATGAAATACTTCTTCATCAAGTTTATAAAAATCTCTACGTCCAGTGCATCTCTCAATGTTGCTACCGTCTGCATAAACTGGAATAGCCATCTTAGAAACCTCTAGAGCAACATGTGTCAAATATTGAAGATGTTGAGTAGACTTATGAATATAAGTAAGTAATCCTGTATGAAAATACACTCTAAGCAATGAGTTCAATGGTGACCATTAAAGAATTAAATTCTACAGAAGGTGGCAATTTCCCAGCTTGATTTAGCTGATTATTCTTTTTCAGAATGATTTTTTTTAAGCAATTTACAAAGTTTGTAGGACGTTGCTGATCCCAATAAAGAATATTCTAATTAAGTATATTTAACATGAAGTAAATTTAACTTTAAAACGTCACCAAATTTAAAAATAAATATAGTTATTTTGTGAAAAGATTAGAAAACGGAGTAAACAGGCTGTCTTGGTAATGCTGAAAGTTTAGCTTTGTCGCTAGTAGATATATAAAATTTTCCATTCTCAATAAACCGAAAATAAAGCGTTATTAACTTAATAGAATTTCTCTCAGTCAAAAATGCATAAAAAAAGTTTCTGTGAAACATCTTTATGATTGCTTTTGGGTGATGTTATAAAACTCACAATCTCCATAAACAGAAACTATAAATGCTTGACTGTAAAACTATAAAATTGGGAATATAAAACTCATGTTTTACGAAACTTCACTAAGTGACATAGTCCTTCTAATCATAAATTTTCACTACCTGGAAAAACAGATTTCTACCCTAAAAATGCAAATCAAAAGTTTTGTGGGTATTATTGAAAAGTTAATGTCATTTTAGAAGAGTATCATTCTTTTTTAACGTATAAGAAAAATAATAGAAATATAGTTTATGTCTATTTTTTCCAGTTTTATTGATTTTAGGGCTAAGAAAGCAAATTTTTAATCTATGACAAATATTTAAACGATTGAAAGGAAACTTTAATTGTGATATCCTGAATAATAAAATTGGAAAATACCGTCATAAACACAACGCATTTTTAAATAATATTAGATAAAAAATATAAAGCAACTAAACGTCTCACTGACGGTTTTCCTTAAATTCATATACAATTCGACACGTTTTAATGTAATTTATTCTCATGAAGTTATTTGA